CCCCCCCCCCCCCCCCCCCCCCAGCCTGCAGTATCATTGAGAAAGGAGTTTCTGTCCAGCAGAATGGTGGAGCGGAGCGCCTTGGGAACTGCAGGTCTGCAACCAAAACTCAAAGGAAACTGGCACCCCGGCGCAAGGTAGGAATGCGAGCAGTCAGAGCTTGGGGTGCTGGCTAGACATCAGACTTGCAAGCCAAAGAATATACACCTGTAGTGATATATTTTTGTTGCTTGGCAAGGCCTTTCCAGCTGCTGCTGGTGGTGGTGGTGGTGGTGGTCCTCTGTGTCCTGCTCCCATGCCATGCTTGCCTTCTCTGCTTGCACAGGGACAGTGTCGTGTGGAAAGTTTGACTCAACCTTCTGCTTTCATACTGCATTCCTGGGCTATCTGATCATCTCTTGAAACCAGAGCTTGATATCCTGCAGTTGAGGATTCAGCCTAGACCAGTGGTTCTCAACCTTTTGGCCCTTTAAATACAGTTCCTCATGTTGTGACCCAACCAGAAAATTATTTTCGTTGCTACTTCATAACTGTAGTGTTGCTACTGTTATGAATCGTCATGAAAATATCTGATATGCAGGATGGTCTTAGGCGACCCCTGTGAAAGGGTCGTTCGACCGCCAAAGGGGTCGCGACCCACAGGTTGAGAACCGCTGGCCTAGAGCCTTACCCCAGAGATTTGGCAGAGTTTAGAAGTCTGTGGTTACAAAATAAGATAGGTACCCAGCCTCCCTCTGCTTTAGGTGAGGCTGTGATTCTCTATCTCGTCAGAAGGGGTGACTTCCTGCCCCCAGAACAGGCTGAGCCCAGCACCCTGCCTCCCCTCCCTCACTCTGGCCCCAGAAGGTACATCACCTTCTCCAGCCACCTCAACGGAGTGTGGAAGTCTGACGCCTTCATTAAATGCACACACTGCCTTGACTTCAAAGATTGCTCTTTCAAAAACTGCTTTCGTCTTGGTGGCAGGCCTCATCGTGCATGGGTGTTTAGTAGAGATGACAGCATGCTTTAATCAT